CCACTGCTGACACAAAAAACATATAAAATACAGATTGGAGTTTGCCAGAACGTACCTGAGGAAACCAAATCCTTTTGGGAGAATGTGTTGTAGACAGATGAAACAAAATTACAACTTTTTGGTAAAGCTCATCATTTTACTGTTTTCAGAAAAAGAAATGAGACCTTTAAAGAAAAGAATACAGTCCCTACAGTCGAACATGGTGGAGGTTCACGGATGTTTTGGGGTTGCTTCAGAACTGGATGTCTTGACCTTGACCTTGTGCTTGGCATTATGAAATCTGAAGACTACCAAAGAATTCTGGGGTGCAATGTAGGGGTTCAGTGTCAGAAAGTTGGGTCTCTGTCAAAGGTCATGGATCTTACAGCAGGACAATGACCCAAAGCACACATCAAAAATCATCCAGAAATTGTTTAAGGCAAAGTGCTAGAGAGTACTGAACTGGCTAGCAATGAGTTCAGATCTCAATCCCAATAGAGCACCTGTGGAGAGTTCTCAAAACAGCAGTTGGGAAAAGGAACCCTTCCAATCTTAGAGACCTGGAGCAGTTTGCGGAAAAAGAGTGGTCCAAAATTCCGGTAGAGAGGTGAAATAAACTAATTGATGGTTACAGGAAGTGATTGATTTCAGTTATTTTTTCCAAGGGGTGTGCTACCAAATATTAAATCGACGGTGCCAATAATTATGTCCAGTTCAATTTTGGGGTTTTGCTTGGAAAGTGTCAGATTTGGCTTTTTGTCATAACAATACAAACAAAAGAAATAAACATGCGAATGCCTAAAGATTTGTAATTGCAACAATTTTCTGGGCAAAGTAGTGCATTATCTGACAGAAATGCAGGGGTGCCAATTTTTTTGGCCATGACTGTATATATATAAATAATCCCAGTTGTTACCATCCCTCAGTATATAGACTATACAACAATACAAAGAAACAAAAACGACAAAATTAAAATACCAGTCTTTTATTACAAAAATATACAAAAATATAAAAATCACATATAAGTCAAAAACCATATCTAAAAACACATATAGTCAGTATGATGATATGGGCATCATAGAGACTCACTTAACTTTGTGTGATTTCTCAGTGGCACATATAAAGTCCTGTTTACTATCGCTGTCCCTTATAGGGAGCGTTAGGGTGTAGAATTTTTTCTTTTAGTAATGATGCGTTATCTTCTTCTTGTAAAAAAATCTTTTCAGTGCCTCCTTCATGGCCAGCTATCTCCTGGCACTATGACAGTCAACAGCAGCTGCTGCTAATGTGAATGGGTTCGCTGTGTGCACACCCTCCTCTGCCCTCTTCACCATTCAGACAACTCGTATTACTATTTTCCCACAATAAATTGCATTCTGTGAATGGATGGTGGGAATCCTGACATTCAACTGTTTCTCTTCCATTCACAGAAGGTAACGCATTGTTTGAGAATAGTAATACAAGTTCTCTGAATGGTGGATATGAGAGTCATACAAGCAATGCAACTCTTCAAACTAGCAGCAGCTACTAATAACTTTAACAGTGCCACTCAGGGCAATATCTGCCAGTCTAAAGGAAATGTTGAAGGCAGGATTTTTACACAAGGTAGCATGTGTTTGGTGCTCAAAAGAAAAAAAACATACACTTTAGTTTTAAAGCAATGGTTTACATAAATAAATATATCTGATGAAAGGTTCTCCTTAACCCCTTGGCGCCGATGCCTCCCAGCCCTTTAAGGGTTTCAGAAGCCAGGAGGCGGAGCATGGTGTTGGGGTCATGTGATTGCCATGATTCGCTGTCACGGCGGTCACAAGATCGGGAAAGGTATCGATTTAAAGAGGAGATCGGGACCTTTTCATAAGTACTGGACATGTAAGCTGGGAGTGCTCAGGGCCTGCGCTCTCAGCACATATGTTTTTCTTAATTGCGTGCAAATGTGCGGCTGCTCAACGTCAAGGCCCAGACTTCGGGAGGCGGCACATTTGCGTGCGGCCGGCGCCAAGAGGTTGAAACAGTATCAAACACTGCTTGGACACTTGTACCTACAGGTAAGTGTATAAAGGTACAAGGAATATCTCCTAAACGTGCACAATTTAGGAGATATTCACTTTTTCTGCAGCTGGAGATGTCATGGCGCATGCACTCTGAAGGAAAGGCATACTCATGCAGTCCCTTCAGAGCACTGTGCCTCAGCTGTGATGTCATCGTGGCTCAGCCATTCAACCGGCTGGAGCCCACAAACTCTGAAAGAAGACCAGATAAAGATGGAAAGATGGAAGCTCTGTTAGTGGCGACGGACCGCCACTGGGGGCATGGGGGAGGGGTTAGTTTTAAGGTAAGTCTTTCAAACTGTGCTAGAATGCAATGCATACTAACACATTATTCTGTTAACTTGCAGGGAGAATATGTTTTAATTTTTGATACATTTTATTACTGCTTTAAGCAGCAAACACTTAACCTGGTTGTTTACTGTTAAATCAGGAGACTTTGACTATCTGTAGGTCCTTCTTGACCACGGATGACATGTTCTACACAGGGAAGAAATGATCTGTTGAGTTGGGTGGTTACCAGCCAATAAATATTGTTTATCAGCAAAATAGGTGGACATAAACTTGTGGCCATATTGGGCATCACAGTGCCTAAATGGTTAGCACATCCGCCTGGCAGTACCAGGGTCATTGGTTTGAAACCCAACCATGGCACCACCTGCCTTGAGTTTGCATGTTCTCTCTGTGCCTGCATGGGTTTCCTCTGGGTACTCCAGTTTCCTCCCACACTCCAAAGACATGCTGTTAGGTGAATTGGCTCCTGTCTAAATTGGCCCTAGTATGTGTATGAATGTAATTTAGGGACCTTAGACTGTACACCCCTTGAGGGTTGGGGACTGATGTGAATGTACAAAATATATGTACAGCGCTGTCTAAATTGACATACAAGGGACTATATAAGTACCCGTAATAAATAAATATTGTTGTTTGATCCCTTTCCATCAATGTAAGCCTACACCACATGTTTCTGCACTTCTTCAGCAAAAAAACAAGCATTACCCAAGCGTATATATTTCTGCCTGAATCTGGCTCTAAAGACACCATTGGGTTTTTTTTTGCCTCATGTCTGCATGTCCAACTGTCCTCCATGGCCAGTTTTAGGGTTCCTTTACCCTGCAATAAGCCACATCAACAACTACAGGAAAGCCTTGCAGACAAAGCCTGAGGTGAACAAGACATTCTTGATCTCTGTAACAAACACCAGGAACAATGATAGGAAAAAAAACAAAGGCATGAGTTTGCATTTGTACCATAATAGTCGCTTCAGATATTGTTTCTTGACAAACAGCTCCTCCAAGGACCATAAATTGTGCTAAACATTTGCTCCGTTCCACCAGTATACATCTATGGTAGGAACGTAGCCAGGGAACAGCAGACTAATTGAAAAATCATTCAGCTGAGGTACAGTAAGGATCATTTGCACTTTATATGAAAACTGTAAAGAAACTTGACACAAGTGGCTTCCAACAGGAGCTGAGCAATTGACTAATCAGCAAAATCTCACGGAAAATAATCACGTTCCCTCCTATCTTGCAAGTGTAATTTTCATTTAATAATGCATTGATGAGGAAGGGGAGAATTCAGGAAGAAGGGCTGCACCGATCATACAAAGCACATCTATTTTTTCTTCTTCTAAACTGCACACTCCTTTCTCAGAGAGGATGGCTGTATTGACTGATAAAGCAGCTACACAAGGCCTGCTAGCTGATGTCTCTAAAACCTATTATTCAAAGATCGTTATCGCAGTTTTCCATTAGCAGAAGTAAGTAAATGCTTTTCCTATAGAGTCCTGTCGGGAGATTGTTTTGTTTTTAGAAAAAGACTCAATACCCAGCTGCCAATGGTATTGTATGATGCTTGATATGTAACCTTTTTGGGGACGGGAGAACATTGATGTAGTCATAAAAAAATGAAGAAAAGAAAAAAATGCATTCATATTCACCTTTATTGTGTCTGTAGAAGCTCTCACAATGCATTTAACTGAGAGCTACAGTCAGGATGAGAAATTGTCAGTGAGGTTACATAGTAGCAGGTATGTGCACCTATTATTGCTTCTCTGAGGTGCAGTAGGGATGACAATGAATACAGAGATCCCCTCCCAAGCAATAATACATCCCTTCCTATAATTACGTAAATTAAATTGGTGAGGAATTAAAACTGACAGGAAGTAAACATGTTTCAAATGGATTTAGTATCAGATAGTATGTATTCATGTTAAGTATGTGTCACAGCTGAACTCCAGGTATGGTCCATTGCATGTGCATTTTCCATACATTTTAGGCAATCTCTGAAAACCTATCTCTTCAGGGAAGCCTATCCTGCCCTCAGCTAATAATGGAATCTTCTACTCTTCCAACCAGTCCATCCCCCACAGTTACCACGGTTACTACCTTTTGTACCACTAGCCCCTCCCTCTTAGATTGTAAGCTCCAAGGAGCAGGGCCCTCCTAACCCTCTTGTATTGAACTGTATTGTTGCTGTATTGTCTCCCGTTATATTGTAAAGCTCTGAGCAAACTGTTGGCGCCATATAAATCCTATATAATAATAATAATACCTTAACAAGTAATTGATAGATCCTCCTGTGCTTAACCACCAGCCTACAGGGCACTTATACCCCCTTCCTGCCCAGGCCAATTTCCAACTTTCAGCACTGTCACACTTTGAATGACAATTGCGCGGTGATGATGCAACACTGTACCCATATGAAATTTTTATAATTTTTTTGGGACAGATAGAGCTTTCTTTTAGCGGTATTTAATCACCTCTGGGTTTTTTATTTTTTCTTAAACAAACCAAAAACCATTGAAAATTTTGAAAAAAAAAAGTTTTTTCTTAGTTTTTGTTATAAAATTTTGTAAATAAGTGATTTTTTCTCCTTCACTGATGTACGCTAATGAGGCTGCAGTGATGGGCACTGATAGGCTGCACTGATGGACACTGATAGGTGGCACTGATGGGCACGGATGAGGAGGCACTGGTAGGTGGCACTGATGGGCATTGACAGGCATCACTGATGGGCACTGAAGGGCAGCACTCATATATGGCACTGATAGGCGGCACTGATATGTGGCACTGACTGGCACTGATAGGCAACACTGACTGGCACTGTTAGGTGGCACTGACTGGCACTGTTAGGCAGCACTGAGGGGCACTGATGCACACTGATAGGCGGCACTGACTGGCACTGATAGTTGGCACTAACTGGCACTGATAGGTGACACTGATTGGCAGCACTGATAGGTGGCACTGACTGGCATTGATAGGTGACCCTGACTAGCACTGATGGGTGGCACTGAGAGGCAGCGTGACAGCTCGTGGGGAGAGAAATGCCAATAGCTGACATTTCCCTATTTACATGTGATCAGCTGTGATTGGACTCAGCTGATCACATGACATCTTTGGCTCTTTCCGAGGGACACAGCGCTGCATGCCCCGGAGCCGCACATGTGTGGTTAGAATGGGAGGCCGTCATATGACGCCCTCCCCGAACGAGAGAACCACCTTGCGCACATCATTGTACTATATGGCGGGCGGGAGGTGGTTAAATGAATCCCTAGCTCTAAGCTGCTCACACAGACTTAAACCCAATAAGTGCAAATGATCAAAATAGATAAAACAGTGTAGCGCTAATAATAATATAATGTAATACAACATACAAATAAATTATATCAAAGTGATTACATAACGTGATATGATCCTGCCAGGATCAGGTGAGATATAATGATAATTGTGAAGAAATGAATCCTATAATTTAGTGAATGAAAAATCAATCCCCTTTTATCCACAATTGAGGGATGGAATACTATCATATATCCTGATACCCTGATGAAGTCACTTGACTAGCGTGACGTAACGCGTCGGTACGTCGGGAGGAACTTCCGGTACGTGGTGCCGTCATTTCCAGTGTGGGCACCATATTGGAACACCTTTTACTACCCATGCAGTACACCCATAGCACGAGGTAAAAAAGCTGATATGTGATGGAGAAATGTGAGTGGGATATCATTGTTTTGTGAATATTCTATATTAATTAAACAAGATTACACTATGGAGGATCTTTTTGTCTTACTGGTATGATCCTTTATGGGAGAGCGGTATTGCTGCTATCTGTCTGGAGGAGGCCTTAAAAGGAGAGGAGTATATGCCACCATTGAGGGGGATCCTGTGACGAATAAGTACCTATAAGGATTGGTGTGATCTCAAAAGCGAGCTGGCCCTTGTGGTCAATGCAGGAGGTGAGGGGGCATTTTGGCCACTTGAGGATTGACACTATTGCTGTGACCACTTATACACCTCATCACTTGCACGAAATCGTAGTTGGAGCACGTGTTTACGTTTTCAATAACCTTGGAAATTTTTTTTATTTTAATTTGTGGGTTTAGTAATTTATATGTGTATATTTGGATGTGGTTAATTGCGGTGTGTGACACTTATCACTGTATTGGTTATATCCCCACATAGGGGACTCGCTTTTTATGCATTTTCACTATTTTATATGAGAGTATTGGATCCCTCAATTGTGGATAAAAGGGGATTGAGTTTTCATTCACTAAATTATAGGATTCATTTCTTCACAATTATCATTATATGTCACCTTTCTGATGCTGGCAGGATCATATCATGTTATTTAATCACTTTGATATAATTTATTTGTATGTTGTATTACATTATATTATTATTATATTATTAGCGCCTTCACTATATTTTAATAATAATACGTTGTAGATCCCTGTGGAAGTCGAGAATCACTGAAGTAGCAGTCGCTACTACAGTGATTCTTGGTATCTTCTAGGTCTTGTGCCGAGCAGGTGCCTACTGCATGAGAAACACTGAGGCACTTGCTTGGCACAGGTACCTTCAGAGAAGACCTTGCATTTTCCTCAGTGAATGCAAAGCATTCTCTGATTGGATGAGCTGCAGAGGCAGTGCAGTGATGTCAAATTTTTTACCTCATCCAAATAGAGATCTCCTTGTGTCCATTGATAAAAATACTGTACTCTGAAATGCAATGAAATATGGGTGTGACTAAATTGCACTCTTGGCATATTACTGGGCATGGCTTAACCACTTGCCGCCCGGCCTATGGTCAAATGACGGCCAGGCGAACATCTCGTCCCCCTGGGAGGGCGTCATATGACATCCTTCCCAGACCGCGCTTTGCGCATGCCCGCAGGGCCACGCTGTGGCGAAATCTATCACCGGACGTGTACTTTGGACACGGCCAATGACAGATCTGTGTACTGGCCCTGTTGCCAGTACCATATGACCTGCTGTGACCATTCACAGCAGGTCACTTGACAGTTGTATACAGTGGATAGTGGAAGTGTGTCTAGCTGTGAATGGTCACAATGATCACATGCACAGACTGGGCCAATCACAGCCCATCTGTGTCTTGGCCAATCACAGCTAATCACAACAAAAAAACCTGAATTAATTGATTTCATTCAGTTAAATGTTTGCTTATAGCAAAGAAATTTCTTTGCTATAAGCAATCAAATTGTGTAAAAAACAAAATACTGATCACTTACCCAAAGTAGTACAATGTTACTATGGTAATATTATACTACTTTGGTCATAGTGTAATATGAAAAAAAAATCTTTAAAAAAATCTGAAAAAAATTTAATTAAAAAAAAAATCACTGCCACACATAATATGCTGATGCTGTACTGCACTGGTGACAGTATGTAAAAAAAATTGTGAAAATCATTTTTTTAATTTCTTAATTTTTCCAAAAAATTATGACAAAAAAAATTACAAATTAAAAAAACTCGCCATGTCTCTTATGAAATAGGTTAGACTGTCTACTGCAAAAAGGGGTCATTTGGGGGATATCTGTACTGTTCTGACATTTTTGGGCCTCAAGAACTTAGATTGGCAGTCAGTACTTCAGGATTGATCAACTTTCAGGTATATCCCATAGTTTGTGAACTCTATAACTTTCCTGCAGACTAAATAACAAATACTGATTTGGGTTATTTTGCACCAAAGAAATGTAGCAGAATACATCTTGGCCTAAATTTATGAATACAAATTATTTGTTTGCAAACTTTTATGACAGAAACAAAGAACATGTTTTTTTTTTTTAAATGTTGGTCTTTTTTTGTTAATTTAGCAAAAAATAAAAACCCCAGTGGTGATTAAATACCCCAAAAGAAAGCTGTGTGTGTGAACAAAATGATAAAATTTTAGTTTGGGTACAGGGCTGTATGATCGCGCAATTGTCGTTCAAAGTATGAGAGTGCTGAAACCTGAAAATTGGCCTGGGCAAGAAGGGGGTAAAAGTGCCCGATATTGAAGTGGTTAAAGGAACATGAGAGATTTAGTCTAAGTCACATATAAACCTAAAGGATCATCTTGACCACTTGACCTCTGGAAGATTTACCCCCCTTTATGCCCAGGCCAGTTTATTCTATTCGGAACGGCACTACTATAACTGGTAATTGCGCGGTCATGCAGTGCTGTACTCAAACTAACTTTATATAATTTTTTTTAAACAAATTGAGCTGTCTTTTGGTGGTGTTTGATCATCGCTGGGTTTTTCATTTTTTATATATAACGAAAAAAAAAACAGTACATTTTGAAAAAAAAAACTATTTTTACTTTCTGTTATAAAACATGCAAAAAATAAAAAAAAAACATTTAGGCCAAAATGTATTCTGCTACAAATATTTGGTAAAAAAAAATACAAATAATCGTATATTAACTGATTTCCGTGAAAATTATAGCGTTTACAAACTATGAGATATATATTGTAATTTTTAATTATTTTTTTTTATACTAGTAATGGTGGTGATCACTGACTTACAGCGGGACTGTAATAGTATGGTGGGCAATCTGACAATAACTCACACTGGGGGGAACTGACTTACTGATACTGACATCACCAGTGACACTAATACAGTGATCAGTGATAATAATATACACTGACACTGCACTAATGACACTGGCTGGAAAGGGGGCAATCAAAGGGCTAACTGTGTGCCTAACAATTTGTAAAGTGTTTTTGTCCTTTTTGTTTCCCCACAAAATGAGCTTTCTTTTGGTGGTATTTGATTGCCTGTGCGTTTTTGTTTTTTGCGCTATAAAAAAAAAGATCGACAATTTTGAGAAAAAAACTATTTTCTTTTTCCTAATAAACATGTCCAGTAAAAAAATGTAAAAAGTCAAATTTCGTCATAAATTTACACCAAAATGTATTCTGCTACATGTCTTTGCTTAAACAAAATCCCAATACGTGTAAATTAATTGGTTTACGTGAACGTTAGTGTTTACAAATGGCTGTATATATACTGGGATTTTTTTTTCAATAAATCTTTACTAGAAATAGCTGCGATCAGCGACTTATAGCGGGACTGCAAGACTGTGGTGGACATTCTGATACTGGGGGGGAGAACTGACTTGGTTTCACTGACATCCCCAGTGACATCAATACAGTGATCAGTGCTAATAAAAAAGCACTAACACTGTAGTAATGGCACTGGGCAGGAAGGGGTATACATGTGGGGCGATCAAAGGGTTAATTGTGTGCTGTTTTATAAGGGGCTGTGTGTTAGTGAATCCAGTGGTGTATTTAGGTTCTGTGCTGACCTAGGCAACACCCCTGCAGAGAGAGCCTGACATTGACCAACAACACCCCTGCCCCCCCCCCAAGAGAGCCTTCCACTACCACTGCCCCCCATAAACCAGCCACCATCCGCCACGGCGAAACAGAGAAAGACACTCACCTTCACAGCTCCGGATATCACTGTAAACAAGAGTGCATACACCATCAAGAAACCCGCAGCCTCTCTCAGAAACCACCAGGTCTCCATGCCGCGTGTGTCCCTTCTTCCATCCCTTCTTCCGAGGGACATTGCTGCCCACCCTGAAAAATGCCGCCCTAGGCAAATGCCTTGTTTGCCTTGTGGTAAGTACACCCCGAGTGATTCACTGTAAGCACACTGCTTTGCATGGCTGTGCTGTGCACAGCCATGCAAAGCAGTGTGCACAAGCTGACAGGGAGGAGAACTGTTTTGTTTACTAACAGTTCTCCTCCCCATTGGAGATGCTTTGCAATCACCGGGCGCCAGCGAATAATCAACGTCCGGGAGCCGGTGATTGACTTCCGCATCTGCAAATGGCGGCACAGGTAGGGCTTGCGTGCACCTACAGCTGCTTAAAAACGTTCTGATGTGAGGTACTGCCTTGGTTTTGAAGAAGCTGTGTAGTATGTGTGTGTACATTAACATTTATATACATGCGAATGTATATGTCAAATAGAGTCCCTGCTATAAATTCTGCTCTAATATAACATTTTTAAAGGTGTCACATGCTGTTAAACTCGCCAGGAATAGAACATGCAAGAAAAAAAAAAAAAAGCTTTGTAAGG